TCAGATCAACGTAAAAGGCTTATGTTGTCATCACAGACACTGGAAGGATTAAAGATTACTGGTGCGTATTACATATGCTATTACTTATTACTGACACCCTCATCTTTGTTATTTGTAATAGTATATTCCTTTTTGGAGCTAGTGCCTTTTCTCTTGTCATTGGATGGAGCTACCTTTGTCTTAAGCGAAAGATTCAACCAAGATAATGTAGAGATGTTTTTTGGTAAACAACGAGCTCGTTGTGGGCGTGGAGACAATCCCACTGTTCACCAGTTTATGTTTAATACCCAAGGCATCCGTACCACTAGATCTCTTTCTATGGGTTCTTGCTCCAACATTGGTGGAACCATTAAGAGGAAGCAGCTTGATTTCGAAGACTTAAGTCAACCATTAAGAAAAAGACCAAGAAGGAAATAAGTTCATTATCATAATTACTATAAAATACTACTATTATTTGTAATGACTATAGTATACTAGTTATAAATAATAATAGATAATTTAAAAATAAATTAATTTTCGTCTTGATTATTGTCCCTTCTTAGTTCTGTACGTAAACTTCTCTTTTTGCTTGTTTCATTCTTCTTTCTCTTGTGTTGCTCCATTTCCATTATTGCCATTGAATGCCCTCTTACTTTAATCCATTCCTTTACAATGTCGTTTAGCAATATTTCTGTTTCATTATCATCATATTCTATTATACACTTACCCCAGACTTGGAGAATATCAGGGTCTCTGCATGCAGAGCTGGTTAACTCATGTGTAGTCTGTTGCTGTGATTGTGATAGTTGATGATACACAAATATCTCAATCTCCACAAATAGCTCAAATGCCAAGTCGGTAATGTAGTGTAGTCCACCTCTGTCGGTTGTTTCAATCCAATTCTCAGTAGAATCTGGATCATCTTCCCCTTCGTCTTTTAGGAGTCCATACAGACATTCTTTCATACTATAATGATTCCTCCACTTCCTGCTAAGTTTTCTTACTGTGGACCCAGCTGCATATCTAATAGCATTCTGTTCCACATGTGTTAGCACTCGAGACTTAGAAGGAACTCTATTTGTATGTCTAACTGAAGCCAGTTCATTCTCCAGAAGCTTGTCAATATAACACTGCCACAATATGTAATCATTACAGCAACTTTCTGGGATTGACTTTTCCTTTAATTCTGAAAGCCACTGTGGCAGAACATTTGTTCTGAAAAAATGGAGACTTTTATGAAGTTTACTAAAATTAGTTGGTAAGAGCATTCCCTTTATCTAAAAATAAATTTGTTACACACATAATACATGCATTACTTGCCTTAATTTCAAGATTTCGAGCAAATTATGTTTCCAAAGTATCCTTCTTCTCTGCATCATCTATCTTTAATAGATCTTCTATGTTTTTTAGCACACTATTTGTTACTGGAGTGTCCATCTTAAATTCATCACTAGATTTGACTTTATTCAAAAGCAAGCTGAAGTCAGAACAGCCTGTATCTTGATCTTGAGCCATGACTCAGCCCATAGAT